CCTACACGTGTGCTCTTTTATTCAGTGCAGTTTGCCTTTCAACAACCCAAGCTCTCCTACACTGCAACTCTCCTCCACAAACCCCTGTCATTTTAATTAACTGAAATGTATTTCAGCAGATGTGCTGAGGACAGAATTGTGGTTAAGATACTGAGCTTCAGTTCCTCATCCTGTTATACCTTTTCTGCATGATCATGGGCAAGATTTTTCATTCCTTTATGCTTCAGTTTACCAGTTTCACAATGCAGATAGTTATACTTTTGTTGTTCTCAGGCTTACAAATTCTCAGTCAGGGCAAGGAATTCGAATAATATAAGAGGTATGTACAATTATCATAAAAGAGGCAATGGGACAATTTTTGATTGAAAGTGGAGTAAGACTAGCAGTTAATGGTTTAGTATTTCCTTTTAAGAAACACTGCTTTTGCATATATTCAACAACAATATTTAGTGCCTTTAATATAACAACTTTGTAGCTGTTCTTCAGTTGTGGAGTATTAAGTCAATGCCCAAATGCATGTGAGTAAAGAATTCTCTGATAGGCATCTCCACCACATTTTTTCCTCTACATCATATTAATCTCTAGGGTAATAAGAAAATTTATGTAGATCTTCACATCAACTGTGAAGCCTCATCATCATTTCAGTCTTTGGGCCTTTCAATCTACAGAATCACTTCCTTCCTAAACACAACCAATATACAGAGCTTTCTTACCCGCCCAGGTATCAGCAACAAATAAATTAAGTGCACTTCTGAGATCCTGGAACATTTCTTCTTAATCCATCAGTTTAATACCTTGCGCATACATATGTATCCCATGTAAAGTACTCAATCAAAGTCATAGAGGCCTTCAAAACATCCTTGCATGGAAGACTGAGAGAATTCTTGTTTCTCTCTAATATTATTCCGTTAATTTTAGATCCAGTACCAAAAGTGACTCCAATAACCATTAACACAAAATGCAACCACGGAAACAGTGGGAAATTGTAGTCTTCCTGTCACCCCAGGCACATCAGGCCTGAAGGGGCAGCCTGCACAACCCCTACTACAGAGTCAGTGAAAATGACTCATTCCTATAGCAACACTCAAAGGCATCAGCTTTATCCTGCTCTGATGAACCTGGCTTCCATCTTCTCTCTCAAGGACATTGCCTCTGCCACTCGGGCTAACTGTACTTCTTTGTTGATGGTCATTTGTTCTAAGGCACAAAATCCAGAAACAGACACTCGCACTCCTGTGACACACAAGAGAAGAAAACCCAAACCCACTGATGTCTCCTGCCTCACATATATGAGTGCAGGTAGGGGTAAGTAACTTGTAAATTCCCAGAAGAGATCCAACATGCTTTTCTTCAGGTCTTGAGAAAGCACTTGTCCAAGTAGGAGTACGATGACGTTTCTCTGAATTCAAAATCAGTTCCTGCCAAAGAGCCAACAAGATTTCTGACAAGAACTACTCAACACAGGGAGAGCAGGACCTGAAGTACTGGTTTAAGAAAAGATTCACAGGTAATTTTATCCCAGATCTAACAGTAATGATTCATGTAACACCTTGAAATATTATCCTACTCTGTAGACAGAGAAATTGACAGCATCTGCTCATCTTGGAAAAGAACATGGTAGTTACATGGTTAACTTATTTTTTAAAATTCCTGTACTAAGATCCACCAGATTGTACAAAATATCTTTGGGGACTGGGCGGCGCAGTCATCCCAAGATACTCATTCCAAGACATCCTGCTTTTCTGGACTACATCCCTTGAAAACTTTTTAATTCTGGCAGTGACCCATAAACACCAAGAAGCAGCAGCTGTGTTCCCCTTCTGCAACAGGATGTTGACCGCTAGGCCACATTTTCTTAATGTAAACCAAGTCCATCAATACTCCAGTAAATAAGCTCAGTAAACTTGCCTTCAAAAGTCCTCAGGCTGGCCCACGCACAGTGATGTGGCATTGAGGCACAGTAACTTCTTAACTTAGAGGCGTCAAGGAAAAGTTACTGTGCCAAGGGCACATTAATCATAAAAGAACCAACAGACAAAGGCACAAAAGGCACACTCGTTCAATAACAGCAGAGATACTGCAGCAGATAATGAACAAGTACAGAGCTGTTGCTAGAGAACTTACTGTCAGTGCCAAGACAGGAGGAGCCACGCTCCGCAATGGAGATCTAGAACACAAATTGGTTTTGCAGAAGTGACACAACACTGACAAAAGACATACCATCATATGCTTTCAAAAAACTATTAGAGAAAAAACATGTATGTTTGAATACGGAGGGGATTCTACCTTACAAAACCTACATCTTCAGAAACTAAGACAACAAAAAAGTTCACATTATAATCTATAACAAGAAAGGACAATTATAGCTGTTCACTTACATCCCATTTTAACTATAAGAATTCACATTATGTATCCTTCGGAATGGACCAAAACTCTACTGAAGAAAGATATAAAGGAAAAATAAGCAAGTGCTATTAAAAATAGATACCTTGAGGTATGCCACTATTTTTCACTTGGGGTTCAACCACTTGAATTGTATCATCTTCAAGGTAGAAGTATATTTTGCAGTGTCTGATTCTATATAGCTCTTGGTTTTTGTCAGGCACTTCTTCGTCAAAATAGGCATCAAAAGACAATACCTATTAAGAACAATAAATAAGTATAAAGCAGAAAAATCTCCAATGCTTTTGCAAAATATGTCAATAAAATAAACTTGTATAGATTATAAGTAACTAAATGTATGGATTTCAGGAGGTAGATTTATTTCTTAAAAATGTAAGAACAGAAATCCACATTAAATCCCATAAATTTAAAATTCTTTGCTTGACATTTTTATTATCACAACATCTAAGCAGAGATGGAACTCTAAAGTAAAGAAATAAATCAAATATAAAGCTATCAGCAGGCTGCTTGGAAAATCTTCTCAACAAAGCACTTTCGATAACACAATGAGCTACCTAGGTCCTGAAGCAAATTTTAGACTGCTATTCAATGAATTGCTGAAAAATAAAGTGCATTATGACAGTAATGGCTTCACCAGTGAAGTAACTGGAAAGGAGAGTTCTTTTCAAGCAGATCCTGCAAGCTGTCTAATGAAAGCTACTGAAGACTATCAGAGAGAAATGATGTTTTTTCAGGAGTCATTTAGAGCTGTGCAATACTGGCATTTTGAAACTTTCCTGGTCCTGCAATTCAGTGAGGGTATACCAACTGGCCTTCATTATCTCTTGCAATAGCAATAATGCAAGGCAAAAAAAAAAACCCTTCAGAGGTGAGGTGCTCAGTGCTTTACTACAGTGGCCTTTATGTCTGGAGATCCCAGCTCAAACTCAGCAAACCACTACATGTTTTGCACTTCTTGGTATTATTTATGTTCTTTAATCACCGAGACCAATTTTAAGGGAATGTCTAAGAAGTACCTGCTTAGTAGTGCATTATCTAATAGGAAGCTTGCTGTGGTAAGTATGTTCAGGAAGATATTAATTAAAACAGGTTTTCATCCTACCCCCTCCCCCCAGTGCATTTGGGTCAAATCTGTGCTAATTCATACTTCATTTGTCATGATGACTCTATTTAATAAATTCAATTACCGTTATTCCTGATTCATTAGACAAACAGAAGCATCAAAAAGAACTTAGCTTTTCCCTATGTTTCAATGAGCATCTGGCAGACCCTGGTTTGAAAAAAGTATTTGAACTCTAGGAAGCTGGCCAAGATCCCTACATGACAGAACAGACCAGTTAAGAGTCTGTATTCCTTTAACACATGCCTTTGAGAATCTCAAAGTACTTCCATGAATACTAACGACACAGATTTTAAAACACCCTAACAGACAAACACAACCTCTTTTTCTACCTCTGGGGAGAGACAGCTAGTGGTTTCCTCAGGAGCACATAAAACAGCCACCCTGTGCCCTAGTCAGGCTTCTCAATAGGCCACTCTCCCTTTTCTCAGGCAGGCTGAAGAGAACTCTGTTTCCACAAACTATTTCAAAGGCTAAGATCCTATTGATTTTCAGCATACACCAAACAGTATGACAGACACATTTTGCACATTAACTCTCCTGCACTGTGACCCGCCACCATCAGAAAAATTAAGTTATAATCAAATGACATAACTGTTAACTGTTCAACCTGATGGCATTGAATCTTCACAAAAGGATCTAGACACTACCGGTTATGGTTGTTCAAGTAGTATAACATGCAAGTTTCTGAACAGCCTACACATGAAATAGTTGAAAATAAATAAAAAGTCGTTCTGGCCACATGTAATTTTTAACTGTGGATTTCACTATTTCAAGCATCAAGCACAAAAACATTGGATAAAACATCCGACATACAACAGAGCCAACACAAACTCTACTGTCCAACTGCAATTTTGCAGATCAAAACAGATGATTCAGGAAGGGTGAGGAGGGAAAGGAATAGGAAAGAAGATAGCTTGCTTTTCATTTTAAAGTAAATTTAATTTTTAAAAATACTTGAAATTTAACACTTCCTAGCTCATGTCTCATCTATAGTACATTGCTGTGTACAAAGTTCCCATCCCATTCTTCAAAAAAACAAATGTTACTTATGAAAACCAAAAGTAACAAATATTGGATAAACTCTGTGGCATTTTGTGAAGTTGGCACAAGGTTTCCCTAGCACCTGTGATAATCAAATTATAAACTTCATTTCAAGCCTAGGAGGCCTTGTGTGTGTACTTAATTGTAGAAGACATTACATTTACACTTGTTTCCTATTAAGCATATGAAATTGCAAAAACTGTTTCACAAACTACTTAATAATGAAGTTTTATGCCTATCTTTCCTCCAATTACTATGGTACTGCTGAAAGCTGGAAAACATATTAAAATGGTAAGAAAGCAGACTACATTTAAAAAGGACTACTCAGACCATCTTTCATGTAGTCCATTCTATTCAGTAATAAACTGCAGCACTGGAGGACATAGCTGCATTCTACGCTCGTATCTGGGGAAGCCGAATTATCTGGGTAGTACCCTTTAACAGTCTGCAATTAATACAAACACGAGTCCTCCAGAGGTCAATTCTGTACCTGCAAACTGCGGTCCTGTATTGCCCTGTGGAGGAATACACTGACTAGAGAAGGAATGTCAAAAGGCCAGCTAGCTCATGTCACCAGCCAAGTTCAATGTCTGATGCTCAGTTGGAGGTCCCCACTGCCTCCTACCTAACCCCTTTATTTCATAAAGTTGGGTCCAAGTCCTGCTAATTTACATACAGCCCCAAGAAGCCAATGCACACCGCTCATTGAAAGAAGGGTGTAGGTAAAGCTCATGCATGACTGGCTAAAGCCTTAACATTTTGGCACATTAGACCAATTCATACTTCAGCACATTGCTGAAAACTAGGTGAGCAATAGTAGGTGTTTCAGAGGCAATGCTAATGAAGTCATGTGAATCTGTTCAAGCCCTACATTTTCTTGTAGTAGTTCTGGTCTGCCAAAGAAATGAATGTGTAATTGTACTGCAATTACCTGCATGGCTTTTCTTCTGAAGTAAAAATTATGAGGTTAGCCATTCTTCCCAATATTTAAATACCATAATCATTTAGTCATGCAACATTTCAGCAATCTGCTGAATGATTTCTTTTTCTGGATCATTTTCCTTCTCTGATTGTAGGCTTTTTGCTTTAGAAATAAAACATCACTAACTAGAATTTAATGTAAATTTAAACATAGAGAGTAATGACAGTGTGCTACAAAATTTGTATCATCACAGATTACAGTTATTTCATAACTCTCCATCTTTAAAGGTGTCACCACACTCTTGCAAAATACAAAAAAAAAATATTAATTTTAAATTCCTGTGTCTATAATGGACATAATCAACCTATTTATGCATGAACAGATCACACCAAAGGCAGCATGACTTTGATCGAACAAACATGATAGCATAAGGGAATTCCAAGTCTACAGCACTCCACGGAGGCCCATGGTTCCCGAGTGCCCATTTTCTCCTGGACTGGGACTTACCTTACATTCTTAGCAGGCTGCCAAATAATTCCTTCAATGTCATGATCGTCACTAAAATGAAACATGTCAACCACTTCCTTATTTTTATTATATCCTTCAGGAGGTGTACCCTAATGAAGAAATATTTTTCTGTGTTGCTTTACAGCATAATATATGTTTATATTAATTGTCAAATATACCAATATGATGGAAAAATAGATGTTACCACTCTTTCTGTCTATCTAGAAGCTTTCTTTGCATGCACAAAATAACATTCTGAAATATCTAACTGAATTTCACCTTTATACCGTCTTGGTCATATTGTAGCTATTCATAAGAAACATACAGATAGAGATTTCTACATACCTGTTTGTCAAATGCTACCCAAGCAGGAGCATCACTTCCCATCCCTTCAGGAAACACACTGTATTTAGGTGTCAGCTTTTGACCAGGTAGTGGTTTACCTCCAACTCCAGGTTTATTTTCATCAACCAGCATAGCAACATTATTGCAGAAACCCCAGTGCTGTGACTTGTGGAACTTTTCTTTCAATTTGGAAGAAAAAGAGAAAAAAAAATAAATCTGTATGTTTGTTTTCAAATCCATGATATTTAACTATCTAGGCAAGGAGGATTAATCACATAAAAGTTCCTCTGTAATTACTTTTAATACAGAATCTAAAAACCTGTAACAACTGGAATGCTGCAAGTGAAATGATGTATTTTCTGTGGTCAATTTGCCAGCATTATAGATGAAAATTGAAAAACATTCCAGTAATTTACCCAGGCTCAGAGACAGGATGGTACCAGGCGTTTTTTCCCCCATTCCCTGCAACAAGGATTGAGGTACAAGGTAAAAGAAGGAAGACACCCATGAGAATTCTTGCAAAAGGTAGAGGGGAAAAGCCTTTTTTACAGATCTCCAGAGCACAAATGGAAACAGTTCAGGAGTACCCAGAGAACAGCCTGCTCTCATTACTTATGTCAAAGCCCTTATTTACACTTGTATCCCCGAGTGCAGAATAAATAGCTCTGTACTAGTGAATATACTTGAATTTTGGAAGGTTGGATCTGAATCAAAAGACAGAATATTCATTCCATCTGGGCTTATTCCAAAGAAGGTCTGTGTAGTGATTTCTTTATATTAGTACTATTTTTTCAGGCAATTAAGGATGGAGTGCTTAAAAAAATATGCACAATCAACTACAAAGAAACCCATCTTGCCTACTTGCATTTCTCGGCTGGGGCTGGAACCAGTCTTAAAGTGATGCAGAAAAGCCTCTAGCCTCACATGAATATCAGTCCTGCCTGTGGGCATGTCCTTCCTAATGAGCTGCCTGCTTTGCCAGCCAGTTCTCTCAAACATGGCAGACAGTGTGAGCTGTGCTTGGGCAGCAATCCCTTAACAGCCCCACACATCAGTCTCACACAAGAGGAGAGGGAAATAGGAAAAGCCAACAGAAAACTCCACTAACCCTTACTCCCATGAGCAGCAATCCTGACTCTTTAGCTCCTCTCCCTCTACTATTCCTCCCTTCTTCACCTTCTCAAATCCTTGAAACACTTCATCTTGGAAGACAGAAAAAGGCCACTGGGTAACTGCATGCCAGCACACCTAGTAAGGGATAATGGAGACAATCACAGCTGTGCCCTTCCTCAGCCTGGGACTGGGTGAATATGAGGAAATATAAAGCTAAGGGAGAGGAACTAATGTTACGGGTGAGCACAGAACAGGCTCTATGTAGAGAAAAGACCGAACAGCAAAATTTTTCATAGCAGCACTAGAGCAGGTTATGTCACTAATGTAGCAGAGTGCCAAAATTGCTTCCCCATCTATATTTAGAAGACTGGGCATCACTAATTATTACATAGATATACTTAAACCACTCCCCAAAAAGGTGTAGACAACTCTAAGTTACTATCATAAATAAAAAAATGGTACAAATAATGATTTTTCATCATGGCAATGTCCAAATGCTCCAAAATAACACACGCTCAGCACAGCTGTTCTGGGAACAAGTGTAAGCAGTGTAGCAGCAAAACCTGAAAATAACCAAGTAGCTATTTCATTCTGCCAATATGAGAGTAAGGAATTTCAAAGGCAGATAACCAGCCTCATGGCTCATAACATCCAATGCTCATATATACAAACTACTTCACACTCAAGGTTACAGCCTAAACTGTTCACCTGCCTTGCAGTTCTCTAAATCCAGTGACACAAGACAGAGAGCTGCCCTTGACATGATCAACTGAATCACTACTTTAGCATTACCTTCGCTTAAAATCCTTTTTCATTCCACTTTTGCAAGGACAGTAGTATGAAAAATAATTATTTACTATTTTTACATATTATTCTTTTTAATACCATAATAATCAATGGCTCTACCTTGCTTAGGTTAACAAAAGCTGGGTCAGCCAGCACCCTTTGGAACAGTCATTGCAAAACAAGATAAGGTTCACATACTGGGGACAGTGACTGGGAGGAGTTTGGAAGCATTTCCACAAAGAAGATATTTAAAAAGTAAGCAATGTTTTGAATAGACATGAATAAAAGGGCACACGGCAAGTATATCATAGTTTAAAGAATAACAGAAGGGAAAACAGGAAGTACTCCTGAACCATATGTTTAGAACTAAAGAACAAGGGTTACAGAATAAAAGAAAAAAAATAAATAAAAGGAAACACTTCTCTAACGACTAGTCAGCCCCTGAGCCCCCCTGTCACACAGCACTGCTCAAGCCAAGAATTTAACAAGATTAAAGAAAGAGCTGCACATTTGCAGGAATACTGCCCAAAATAAAATATGTCATATGAGCACATTTTCTTGAGCTGTGATATAAAAAGTCACACCTCAGTGGGCAGTGTAAGCACTGACATTTAGGCATCAGAAGGGGATCTTCATGTGGTCATCCCACCCCTCCCTCAAGAAGTGAGCACAGGCGCTCTCCCAGCACAGGGCTCTGAACAGAAAGGCACTGATGGGGTGTGGCACCCACTTCGTAACTTATCTGCACTTAGGATGTTTTTTCTCTATCTCCTTTGGACACTACTGAGCTGCCCTTTCTTCTATTTCTTCTTTTAATAGTTTTGTTCCTTGGTAAGCTGATACAGAGAAGTCAGAATAGAAGGGAGCTTTCTGCATTTATCAGTTCAAATGTGGAATAACTACAGGGAAGCTGAGGAAGGGAAATTAAAGGGAAATTTCTACGCACAAGCTTCTGATTTATACTGAAGGTGCTATAGAAGAGATCCACTTTTTGGCACAGCAAGTCTTTAATTTCCCCCATTAACAAAGCATGAGTTAAGGAGAAAGGCATAGTTGTCAAAGCGCAGTGAGTACCAGTTTTCCTGAGCAAGGGAAAGCTTTTCATGTCCTCAAAGCTTCTTCTAGAAGCATTTGCTGTTCATCTGTTCCTGGGCTTTGGTGACCTTCAGTGTGCTAAAGCGTTCATCAAAGTAATCCAGAGTTGCTCCTGCTGGAAATCTTCCAGAATTTAGGGATGAAATTGCAACACCATTCACAATTTGATATGTAAAATACACAGTCTAGCAGCTGCAATTCCATTAAGAATCTTCTGTGGCATTCTTGTAACTTTTTAGGGTTCAACAGAAAAACTATTTTAGACTCCTTACCACAGAATTACTTATAAGCCCCTTCTCCACGAAAAGCACCTATATCCATATGCAAAATAATTTCTTAGTTCTAAAAGTCTGTACAGTTATTTCTTTTAAAAAAATGTTTAAGAAAATGTAATAACTGAAGATTACAAAAGAGAAAAATGACATTTGGGAAACTTCAGTTAATGAACTCAGACCACATCCAACCTAAAATAGTGACAGAACATCACGTTACCTCCACAGTAATATTAAATGACTTCTAAAAGAAATCTGTGAGAGCTTTACTGTGTCTGCTGTGCTAATGCAGCTGAACTGAACAGGCTGGCCTGTTCAGATCTGCTGAACAAAGCTGGCCATTTTCTGTGTGGTGAGCCTGAAATAAATATTAAGGATACATTCAATAGCGACTAATGCAAAGGTCAGGATTCTCTGCAGCTATTGGCTTTGCAAACACAGCCACTGCAGTCCTTGGGGAACACTGCCTCATGCTCTCTCCATCTTGCTCTTTAAAAGATTGGCGAAGTCACAGTAAACTCATCAGGGAGCTGCACGTTTCAGCTGAACCAAACCCAACTGGAAATCTCTCACCACAGTGGCTGGAGTGATGAGGGAGCCCTGTGCACACACTGTCTCAGGAGCTATGTGTTTTTAGTTAAGTTCCACAGGGAGTTATGGCAGAAGCCGCTTATAGCAGTGCAGTTCTCTTCCCTGTATCCACTTTTAATTCCCATCTCAAGAACAGCAGCTGCACTGTGGAGGTCTGGCTCAAATCCTGTATCAGGATGAACTGTGGCATTTCTGAACTACTCTAAGCTGCTGATACAGTTCCTGGTTGCTTTGGCTAAGAAATCGAAATAAATGCAAATGCTGCACGCTGTGCCAGCCACACTCACGTGACCGATTTTCAACTCTTTTATCATCCCCCGCTTGCTGCAGAGGTTTCAGTATGTTCAGAGGTTAAGTAGTACTGTGCAAGAGGCATGCCTTAAGACATTTTTCCTAGCAGCTCTGGTGCCCCTCGAATGGATCGCAGAAGAAGGTGCACCAACACTAACAGCCTGAATCAGTACAAGAAAGATATGGACCTGTTGGAGCAGGTCCAGAGTAGGACCACAAAAATGATCAGAGATGTGCTAAAGCACATCTCCTATGAAGATGGGCTGAGAGAGCTGGGCTTGTTCAGCCTGGAGAAGAGAAGGCTCAGGGGAGACCTTACTGTGACTTTTCAATACTTAAAGGGGGCTTATAAGAAAGATGGGAACAAACTTTTTAGTAGGGTCTGTAGCAATAGAACAAGAGGTAATAATTTTAAACTAGAAGAGGGTAGATTCAGACTAGATATAAAGAAGAAGTTGTTTACAAAGATGGTGGAACAGGTTGACCAGAGTGGCACTGGATGCCCAATCCTGGAAACATTCAAGGTCAGGTTGAAAGGGCTCTGAGCAACCTCAACTAGTTGAAATGTCCCTGCTCATTACAGGTGGGGTGGACTAGATGATTTTAAAAGGTCTCTTCCAACCCAAACTATTCTATGATTCTATTAGCTCACTCTTGCTGCCTGAGCTGGTACAGCCTCAGAGAAGGCAACAGATGGATATAAAGAAAAGGGTCCAAAATGCAACCCTGACAGGCAGATACAGGAAGATTTGGGTTTGTCAGTTGTGAACAGACAGAAATCTGGGGGAATGGGGCTGAGGTGCAGGAAGTAGTGGAAGTGGTTCAGGAAAGAAGGCCAGGGAAAGAAGGGAAGGCACAGCAGGCAGTCTTACTTATAAAGAGGTTGGCAAGCACTCCTTCAAGAAAAACTAATGTCTTATTTTGGTGCCAGTGATCACAGAACAGCAGAAAATACTCAAGCCAGGAAACAGAGACAGCAACAGTAGCACAGTTGATGGCAATTCCAAGCTCCTGTAATGAACACGAAGATGTGGAATTTCTGCTGTG